TAACTTCTGTTCAGGATTTGTTCACACAAATGTGGAGAATTTATTCAACCACAACGTGGTGTTGTGAAGGTATGTCGAGAGGCTTTTATTCGACTTCCACGAGTTGTAACAGAGCTTATTCGATTAAATGTTCTATTATTCTGCGTTTATTGGACATCTTTGGACCTTAAACAGCAATGATGTATACGCTTGATTATCATGTGAAGTAACGTTTAAATTAGACACTTTTATACATTTATTAACCGATTGTTCAACAGCAGAAAACTTAAACCGAAAATAAAGAACCACACAGATACTAGAAAATTTATTACATACATATACATGTCCGTTGCATGGGTTTCGAACAATGTACCTTCCGATCACCACCCGCTTGCCTTGCCATCTGAGGTATCCTAAAATACATCAAATGAGCTGCTCAATATTCAATAAAAGCTTACTTGAAACTGAATACCTATCCCAAGTAATATTTTGAGTTTTATGAAATACTACAAAGCTACTATAAAACAACATTCATAAAACCCTGGTCAAGATTACTTTGCCATTGATGCATCCACCAAAACCTTATTGATGCTAGAATCTGTCTAGTTGGCCCACTCTGGAAAAGGTTCTGAAGGGTATATTTTCGAAGCTTTTCAAGATTGATTTACTGCAAAATCGTTGTACGATAAACGCATTGAGATCCATTTCCAAGCTATTTGACAACCATTTAAACCATTATCCGAGCCATTTACCCTAGCTGCTTGCTAAGTTCACTAGAAAAAACAACAATCAAGATAAAAAAGGATTCATAAATACCATCCGATCTTATCAAAATATTTAAATTAAAAACTGGTCGTATAAAAATCCTGCTGAATTTCAAAAATTATAAAATAATTCTCATGAAGTGGCCTAGTTTTAGGTGCCATATAAAATTTGATGTGAAATGTACGTGAAAACATCGGAAAACTTGAGGCCGCCCACGGAAAACATCGATGTTACTAATTATTTAACATTGAGAAAAAATATATATATTCTTCAGATCGATCATTAAGCTTAGTCGAGATTTTTGTTTCTCATGATTTTTGCATTCTTAATATTTTCTTATTGCTAAATTAACTAAAATAAAGTTATATCCGAGGAAATATAGATTAAAAATTGAAGATTGTAAAAAACAAACAAAATAATTGTAATATGGCGGAGGCATAAAGGGCCCATGCGTTAATTATGTCACGCTAAATCGAGCAAAAAATTACCCTCTCCCCCCCTATCGTGACGTTTTTCCTATACCTTTTATGAAGAAAACTTGTAGACTGAATTGTATTTATCTAAAGCCATTTTGCTTGATCCTTACCCGTTAAGATTTATGGCAGCATTTATGCTGGGTTTAGACTAGGCAAGTCAAATGATCAACTCAGTTGAATTCAATTGGCTTGAAAAGTTGAGCCTGGTTCAACTTTTTTCAATTCAAGTGAGTTGATCAAGTCAGTTGAATAGCATTGTTTACACGTTCAATTCGCGCTCAAGTCAGTTGAATTCAACTGACTTGATCAATTGACTTGCCCTGTCTAAACCCAGCTTTATGGCGGCAATGTTGCCTACAAAATGTTAAACGTCAAAGTTTGTTTATCTTTCGATAGTTGCGCTGTACGATTCAGCGTTCTTCCAGGCGATTCTCTCCCAATGGCTTGGAAGCAATTACTCAGAAAGTGTTCACAACATTTCGCATTTCGCACAGCTGTAACCTCGATCATTCCCGAAAAGATCCCCTTCTTCCGGATGGTTCTGGAAGTGTACCATCAAACGATGCAGGAATGTACGGTTGAATGAATTTTTACCAAGTGATGACCTTTCACCGAATAAAATCGCAGCTATAGTTCGGAAACTAACTAGTGTCCGCTAAATGACAGTTTCAGTGGTTTGCTGTCGGTACTGACGCAAGTTATTCCGATCTTCATCTATTCGCAAGGTCTGGAGAAGGCTGGTCTGTTACTGAAATCGACTTCCCTTCGGTCGTTAACATCGCTTGATTTTTCATCCAACTTCGTTTATTCTTCGAGATATCCTTGTCATAAATTTGGTTTTTATTCACTATGAGGATCCATCCTTAAAGTTCAATTTGTAATCAGAGGAGATTTTATGATACACTTTTAAAAGCCTAAAAGGCAACAATATATGCATTTTACTCTCATTTAAAACCGAATGGTTTTATGATTGATTTTATAATGATAGAACAGGTTTATAGAGTATTTTATCAAGACATTAATAAAAAATTGCTAATGAAGTTTATAATTGATTTATAGAACAGTTTTATGGTGGGATTGAGAACTACTTTAAATTTAATTTTAAAACAAGACAGTTTTTGACTTATCGCCCGACTGTAAAAGGTTTTTAAAACAGCGAAAAGGGGAACTACTAAGCAGCAACGTTTTACACTGTGAAATGCTGTGTTTAAACTAAATGGATTATGCATTGCCATTATAAAACCATCATAAATCAGAGTGGATGCCAAATGATTGCTGAATTGTTACTTGGGATAATCACTTCCGATCGTCCCAACCAATTCTACCTCTTCATCTCTCCAATTTTCAAGGAAAGGATGCTGGGTTATTAGTTAAACTAAATCAATAAATTTGTTGTCGTGAGTGGTGTGATCGACGATTACGATTTAGAACACAAATAAAAAAGAGTTGCGCTTGGGATTGAACTCGCGATCTTCTACTTGGTAGCCACTACTCTACAGATTTCGTTCTGTTGTTAGACTGAACCAGTGTTGTGGAATAATGAATCTAATACTCGTTTATAAAGCATTTACAAAGCATGCAATTAAAACATGGACGCATAGTAGTAAAAGAGCTATTTTAGTTAAGAGTTAGTGTATGTGCAAATTACACTTATTCAGTTTATTATTAGATCAAACTTCTGGTTCTGAATCAGGAAGACAGTCAACGTTTATAAAGCTTTTAAAAAGTAAATTAACCATATCACAGCAAACAGTGAAATAAAGGCGCATCTATCAATCTCAATGAGCTTTTTTCAGCACATAATTCGACATCCTGTTTTATTCAGCATTGTAAACTGTTTACAGCATTTATTCAATATACATGCTTATTTGTGTCTTTAAATTGCTTGTTGGTGCGAGCGTACGGTTATGGCATTGAAGTTGAAAGAAATAAATAGGGAAAATTGATGTCATGTCGGCTTAAATGCCACTAATTTGGGTCCATACATAAATTCAGCAATCGACTAAATTTTCAATAGCGACCAAAAATATCCATTAGTACCGTCCCAATGACGCGTTCATCTATATAAAATTGATAAATAGTAGATGTTTAGTGATGGGCCCAATCTTAGATCCATAGGCCAACATTAGAGCCATTTACTAATGGGTTATATTTTATTGGCTGAAAGTTTGAAAAGGATCGGTCAGCTATAGCCACCAAATTTTAGTTTTCGTTATCAGCAAAACGGTTTGCTGGATCATGATCAGCAACAAAAAAGCTTTGCTGAAAAACAGCAAACGACATTTTTACCGAAAAATTCAGCTAACATAACAGTTTGCTGGACACCCAGTAAAGAGCTGTCAATCTGTTAGCGTCACAGTCGCAAGTATTTGCATTCGTACGATTCGCAAACTAATGAGGAGGAGGAGATAAACAAAACTATAAGAGCACTGGTTATAATAAATTTTAATAAAGTATGCATGGGAAAGATCCTGGCGATTTTCTATTTATTATTTGTTTAATAGAAGCTGCCAGCCAGTGAAAATAAATTCGATTTTCTGAATTTATTCAGCAAAATTCTGTGAGCTGTCAGAATTTTATACTGCTGAAAAATCAGTGAAGAAATATTACTGATTATTAGTAAAATGTTGTCATTTTGACAGAAGTTGGAATTGTTGGAAAATTCAGCAGCATTATTTTGTTGGAAGTTTGCTGATCTTTCATCAAGTCTAAGATCAGCAAAAAATTTCTGCGTTTCAGCGATTTAAATTTGGTGTGTAGGTAATTTTCTACAGCGTTTCTTCCGTGATGCAATTTGATGTGGGACATCCTTTAAGAGAAGTGTGACCATTTAAAAAAAGCAATATTTTTTTTTTTGAAATAAAGTATATTTTTATAAACAGACAAATATCTTAAATAGGTTTTGTGAAAAATGTAATTCACTTCTTTATGCCAAATATCCACTCAATTGTAAATGAAGCCTAAATAGGCTAAATGTTGTCAAAATGATTTCCATCGAAATATAGAAGATAGTTTTGAATGGACCTACTGAATTATTTTTTGAAACAATTTTTTCCATGACCAATTTTTGGTGTGAACATTCTTGAGTTCTAACGATTCTGTTTAATTGTTATGTGAAAGTCATCATCTGATGATAACTAACCCCTATGTAAGCATACGTAATTGATGTCATTACAAATAACACTACATTCCAGTGTCTAGCGAATCAACGTTCACCTTCACAGATCAACAGCGCTACCCGGGTAGAGGAGAATATCAAAACCAGAGCAAAATAATATCAAATTTTACTATCAATATATTATTATATTTTCATTAAGTTGTACGCTATAACAAATTAATAACTTATTCTGCCATCAAAGCATGATTTTCTATCATTATGGTATTTTGGTACCATGAATTCAAGAGCTATTTTTTTTCTCCTCGCAGGTTATGCATTCCACTTCTGATCTACATACATTTCCTAGCATGTCAAGCGATTCTTTTAAGTACGCAACTAAACCTGATGATGGCTGGTGTTCCATCTAGTTACACGTGAATTCCCGAGGAGGTGATTGATAGCGTTGCTTTATATTTTCTTTAACACAAGCGTGTTCCCCTGAGCGCAGCAAAAATCCACCCTTTCTTCATCACATAAAGCTGAACCCTATTGTTCAGGTATGCCTGGGATATATTTCAGCGTTCAAGTATAGCAAATTTTCCACTCCAGTTCGATTCTGATTTCCATTCATTGAGAGATTAGTTACTAAAATTGTAGCTTCATTTGTCATTCAAACAACTCACCGGCTATTTCGTATAGAACTGGTTATTCTTTCCCCTTGCTGGCAGCGAATCGGGATCGCACACGATGTTCAGCTTCAATTTCTAAGATAATTCAGCGTCAGCGTAAGGCAAACAAAAAATCACTTCACATTGGGTGCTATTTCGTCAAGAATCCACATCCGCTCAACGAAGAGAAACGTCCAAAAAATAATCCAAATTCACACTTGCACGCTAATTGAATTAATAAGATCGCGGAAGAACAGATCACTCCGAGCGAGCACACGAGGATGAGCAAGAACCTAGTCAACGACGATGTGAACGGTGCGCGCGCTCGTTCAAGAATAATTCCTCCAGTCGGGAATAAGAATATCTCCTCACGGAGACGTTACCTAATCAAGGCTTCTGAACATCACTCAGGTGAGAATTGAGAACATCACTTTGATTTCTTGTTTGGTTCTCGCTCATTCGCTCCCCCCTACCCGCACGCGGTTGCTGTTCTTGATTGTTGTGATCCGCATTCCTTGTTGCCGGCTAAGGAGAAGAGTTTACTTCTATGAAAGCATAGAAGCGTGCATATTCTAGGCTGCGAGCGGTTGCCGGTCGATCTATGATTCGCGGGATGCGCACGAGCCTTGGGGATTCCGTTGTAGGTATGCCTGTATGCCGATGACATCGAGTGGTCTCCGTACCTGATGATTACACATGAACCGATGGTGATGGTGATGATGATATTTATTGTGATTATTGTTTTTTTTTTTTTTTTTAGCTGCCGTTGGTCTGCCGAGGTGGTCCGCGAGTGGATTGGAATCGAACGTTGTTATTCACGATCGTAATTGTTGCACGTGTCTGAGAATTGCATTTCGAATAATAGACATTTGCCATAGTTCAAGTGATGCTGTTGAACTTGTAACACCTGATATTGAAGTATACTGGGATGATAGTTAAAGGGTGACACATTAAATCGTGTATCGTGATCAGAACCAGTATTTTAATTACGCTAAACAGGTTTGACCTAGGATATAATTTTTGGAGGAGTTCCATGATATGAAAATGAAAGCATTTTCGAAGCCCTGATGCGCAGTTAGCAAAGATGCGGTATGATGGAGGCAGTGGATTAGATTCCCGGTCTGGGCATGTAATTTTTTGGGTTGGAAAGCTACTCTTCTTCCCCCTGGGCAGAGTATCATTGTGCCTTAAATACAATATGCGAATGCCAAAATAGTCAAGGCTTAGAAACTTCTCGATTAACAACTGTGGATGTGCAGAAAGAACACTATGTGGTGGGTAGGTACAACTTTAGCCAAGTTGTAACACGATCGCAATTTCAATTGTTTGTTGGGGCAATGTTGGCTTTATTTCTGATATGGACAATGAAAGCATCTTACTTCCAGTCGTTGGGGAAAATGAAACACTGCATGCGTTTTTGACAAAATTGCAAATTTAGGACTTAATAAAATTAACCATATTAAAAAACAACAAAATTGTTGTTTAGACCTTTTACTAATAAAAATTCATTAAGATTTATGTGTGACTGAATCATTATCTCCCATATGGAAAAATAAAGCGTTTCACATAGCAGAGTTATTCAAAACATCCGGTTTGGTGCAACAAAGAAACAAAGTAATTAAAAAATCTAAAATAAAAGGCACACACATTTTATAAAAAGCATAATAGTCAGTTAAACTCGGTCTTGAATATGACCTTTGAGGAGTATAATTTAAAAACCGGACATGAAATAAAATCTTGTCCTAGGAACTTCTTCGATTACGTGAAACCCAAATTTAAATCTAGTGTAGTGTAGGTGAAAACTTAGAAGATACATGCAATCGCGAGCAGTGGGTTACTACGAGAAGAAGGAAAAGATATTAAAACTTATGATTATATGAAAACTAAGCATTCTCAGTTTTAACATATACAAAAGCTTATTTAAAAGAAGGAGAAAAAGAAATTATTTGTGATTTTACAGAGAATTATTCATTTGTATTTCAGGAGGCCAGTAAAATGCAGAAATAAAATATCAATTCGGTTTCAATTCGTTTTATTGTAATGGTAAATTCAATAAAAAAACATAAAATAGTCTCTGTGGTCCACGTCTTCGATGTCACTGACATTTCCAGCCAGAGAACCTCGAAAATCCGACTTGTTGAATGTGACTGCTTCTTCCGCTGCTGAGAGAAATGATTCGCCAAAGCGGTCTCGCGCTTCAAATGCTTCATTGTTCTTTTTCAAAAGCCGCATTTGACAAGTTAAGCATTCCACAAGATTGTTGAATGTTTCTCTTATGAAGATGATTTCATTGTGGTACCCCTTAATAAACAACTACCATAAACGTACCATATCCCGGATGGGTAAACTATCCCACAAATGGTTTGGATGATACCCCGAACACTTCGTTAAGGTCTCTTTTATGGTTATTTTTATTAAAAGAGCCTGCATTGACGTTGTGAGCCACGGTAAAGTTCTGACGAATTTGCCTCAATCGCGGCAGCTCTTTGGCTGTGAAAAGCTACACCAAGTGCGCTGGAGGTCCTTCGTTCACCAGGCTTTCGTGGAAACAAGGGTCTGCATACCAAAATTTAGATTCAAGTTCCAGCAAACTGAATTGCTGAATTGGTTCCAGCAAAACCACATTTCACCGACCATCCAGTATTCTGAAATGTTTTGCTGGATACTCAGTAAATTGTATTCGATCTGTCAAATGAAATGCCAGTTCTAGAAAATTCCAATTCACTCGTCGTATGATTGGTTACCAACTAAAATATTCGCAACTAATTTGCTTAATTCTAGCAAGTTTTGCTCTTGGAAATGATGTTTAGTGTACCACCAACAAGTAAGTGCAACATTTTTCAAGTTTATTTGTTTGGCAATTTTTGGATGACGAACGAGATCTGGATGACATCGTTGAGTCGTTCAACTCTGAGATACGTCGTGTTATCGAAGCTCACGTGCCACTTCAGCGTCCTACTCTGAAATCTCCATGGACAAACAATCGGCTTCGTAGATTGAAGCGCTGTCGACGTACTGCTCTTCGGAAATTCAAACGTAATCGATCACAACACCTGAAACGTCGTTTTGTTCTGGCCAGCAATAAATACACTAGCTTTAACCGCGAAATGTATGCTCGTTATATAGACCGTACGCAGAGAAATCTACGCCTGCATCCCAAACGTTTCTGGTCATTTGTTCGGTCGAAGCGTAAGGAAAATGGGTTACCTTCGTCTATGTATCTCGGTGCCCGCTCTGCTAGCACAGATGCCCACAAGTGTGAGCTGTTTGCTGATCACTTCAAGAGTGCCTTCTCGGACATGTCGATTTCGTCCTCGCATCTAAATGCAGCCATCCATGACACACCATCAGATAGGCTCGACTTTGGAATTTTCCAAATCACTGAGGAGCACGTACAAAAAGCGATACGTAAACTTAAACATTCTGCGTCATACGGTTCGGATGGTATTCCTGCATGCATTCTTAAGAATTGCTCAAGTGTCTTATTGATGCCGCTAGTGAAATTGTTTAATATTTCATTACAGCGAATGACATTCCCATCCGCGTGGAAGACTTCGGTCATGATTCCTATTCACAAAAAGGGGGACAAGTGTGATATTTCCAATTACCGCGGGATAACGTCGTTGAATGCTTGCTCCAAACTCTTTGAGATAATCGTGAACGATGCCTTGTTCGAAGCTAGCAAGAATTACATCTCTAGTGCCCAGCATGGATTTTTTCCAAAAAGATCTGTGACAACGAACCTCACTCAATTCACTTCATTGTGCATTCGATCGATGGACGCTGGCATGCAAGTAGATGCTATATACACTGATTTCAAAGCTGCATTCGACCGAGTGAACCATGCTATTCTGCTTCGAAAACTCGAGAAATTTGGAGTATCCGTCGCCTTTGTTCGTTGGTTCGAATCATACCTGTCAGGACGGTCTATGAAAGTTAAATTAGGCTCCTCACATTCAACCGCCTTCCCGATTGTATCCGGAGTTCCACAAGGGAGCAACCTAGGCCCCCTATTGTTTTCGCTTTTCATTAATGATGCATCGTTTGTTTTACCATCTGGAAATCGTGTTTTCTACGCCGATGATGTTAAGATTTACATGGTAATCACATGCATCGAGGACTGTGCCTACCTGCAGAGTTTGTTGGAGTCATTTGAGGATTGGAGCAAACGGAACTTACTGGAACTGTGTGTAACGAAATGCAACACTATTTCGTTTTCCAGAAAACGTCATCCGATCATCTTCCACTATCGTCTTGCTGGTCATGATCTAGAACGGCTGAATCAGGTTAGAGACCTTGGTGTGATATTGGACTCTGAACTTAACCTCCGGACACATTATGCTGATGTGATTTCAAAAGCGAATAGGCAGCTTGGATTTATCTTTAAACTTGCCGATGGATTCCGTGACCCTCTGTGTCTGAAATCACTGTACTGCGCCTTGGTTCGCTCGATCCTTGAATCTGCTGTTATAGTCTGGTGTCCGTACAGCAGTATATGGGTTGACCGTATAGAATCGGTTCAAAGAAAATTTGTGCGCCTAGCTCTTCGTTATCTACCTTGGCGTGAACATCTAAATCTACCTCCCTACGAACATCGATGCATGCTGTTAGGAATTGAAACACTGAAGAAACGAAGGTCTGACATGCAAGCGGTTTTTGTCGCCAAAGTATTAACTAGTGAGGTGGATGCACCTGCCATTCTTGCCGATATCAACGTTTATGTACCTGAACGCCCCCTTCGTCGGCGTAACTTCCTGCATTTGGCATCCCGCAACAGTCGATACGGGCAACACGACCCAATACGGTTCATGGCCTCTCGCTTCAATGATGTATCTGAGCTTTTCGACTTTGAAGCTTCTGCAGCTACTTTTCAACGCCGCCTAAGTAATCGATTGTAAAGCTGTTATGTGCATGGATTGATTATGAGCAGGTGAGTGACTGTCCATCCCCTGATGACTGTATGAATTGTGCTACCTGTTTTCATTTTTGTTTCCGGTTGCTTTCGACCCTTCCACGAGGACTTGACAATCAATGACGATGCTGCACTGTTGCTGACACACTTTTATGACACTGACCGCATTTTAACGTTTTTAATTTACACTGTAGTAATTATTGTATTTTGCATTGTTTTTGCTGTGAACTGTGTAATTGTTAATGTTTAGTTTCTGTTTCTATGTACTTAATTTAAGAAAAGAAACAGGGTTTTTATGCCAATTTGAGTTCACCATGACTCAATTTGGCTTTTCCCTGTCCAACTTCATTAAGACAACCTTGTCAGATGGAGGAATACAAATAAACAAATAAACA